CATCAGCTGCGCCCCGCTTTTACCCTCTTTTTCTTCCATATTCCGCGCGGCGAGCCCTGTGCTCTCGGTTACGGGGGCGGCGGTGAAGGCGGAGGGAAGGCGCCCCTCTTCGAAGGCGCGAGTTTCTCCGGTATTGATCCGTGCCCTCCGCTACCTCCTCTCGTCAAACGCGTATCCGTTGCTGTCGATTTTCTCGAGACAATGCGCTCCTCCCTGTCTCCGCGATACATTTCGGAACAACCTTCCAACCTTTTTTTTCTTCCTGGCGAGAATAGATTCGAGTGGATTTTTCCTTCGACGCGTCCAGGATTGGGTAGAAAAAAGAGAGAGAGAGAGGGGATAATTTTTATTCGGTGACGCGCGATATGCAGAAGCTCGGACGTGGAATTATCGATTCGCGAGTCCTAGGCCGGTTGGTAATTATAGAAGATGAGAGAAACTCGAGCGCGTGGCTCCAAGCGTGCAACGAGTATTCCTAATTATTCCGTAACCGTGTTGCGATCGCGAGCCGGATCGCTTTTACCTCGTTCGTAGTTATGCTGCTCGTTAATGGCCGCACCGACCACTTTCGTACTCCTCGCTCCTTCCTTCCTTTCCTTATTTTCGCGCTTTTTCTTCTCCTTCTCTCCGATCGACGCGACCAAAGTGCCAATTCGCCAATAACGATTGCGTAATCGTTGTGTTTCGCGAGAATCCGGTGACGGTGAACCGCATAACCGGTACTCGTACGGAATCCATCCTCGCGACTCTCCGCTCTCGTATAATTTTACTCTTCGCTCTATTTTTCTTCGTGCGGATTCGCGAAAAAGCGAAACCAAACATCCCCTCCTCTCCATCTAATAATAGAGTTTTTCGAGAATTATATTCGATGTCGAAAGAAAATTTTGTATATTTTTCGAAAATCATTAGAAATATATATATATTAGAATTTTGAAAAGTTGTACGAGGAAAGGATAAAACGGAGGATAAAAGTTAGGAAGGACGAGAAACGAAAAGAAAATTTTTCTCCGAATTCACGGTCGTTTCGCTTTTCGCTCTCTTGCGAAAGGATTTTAAATCGAGTAGGAAACTTTGCTCGTTTTTTTTTCTTTTTCCCCCATTGATCCACGAGAGAAAGTACCGCTGCATTCGTTTAACGTCTTCTTCGTAACGGAATTTAATCGGTTCGAGAGAGAAGAAGATTGTCATCGATCGAAATAAACTGTTAATCTCTAAACTCTTCTAAGAGATTGGTCGTGATCGAAATTATATATATTTTATAACTTAATCCAAATTTAAACATCGAAGAGCGAAACGATCGAGACGTATCTCGAAAATTCGTCGTTTACATTTTCACGTTCGTGCTTTAAAATTGTACGTTTACCTTTTGACGAGGTATCGAGAATTCATCGAAAGATTTTATCGTCAAAAACGTCCACTCTCGAATTCGGAAGGGAAATGAAATTTTCTCGACCGGACTCTGGTAGATGTTTCCTTTGGTCGCGTGCAGAAACGACACGGTTCGTTCTGCTAGCGCAAACAATGCCGTCTTTAGGAGCGATCAGCTCTCGCGGTGGATGCTTCCACCTACGCAAATATTGATACAGACGAGTGCGTGCTCGTGTCCCGACGCCTCGTTAAGTCGTCTAACAATTACCGTACCGGTCGAGTTAAGTGCTCCCCACGCGAATATCCTGGCTATCCCTTCGTTTCTTCATCCTCGTCCATCCTTTCCGAATCGAGCTCGTTTTTTCGGAATTTCGCACCTCGTCCCTCTTCTTCTTCTTCTTCTTCTTCTTCCTCTTTTTTTTTTTCGTAATATAATTTGATTATAAATTACGCGACACGGCAACGTTTATACAGTAGCGAAGATTTATCGCACATTTCAAATGGATACACACGCTTAACATTGACTTTCTTCGCTTTAATTAACCGAGATGTTGCTCAAACTTCCCGTTGCGTTTTTACGGCCATTCACCGAGTAGATAATAATTTTTCTTTCGTGTTCACACGCATATACGCGCTACTTTTTTCCCCGTCTCCTTTCTGAATCTCCTTTTCTTCTTCTTCTTCTTTCTTTTTTCAAGGTTTCTTTACCTTCTTATACGTATATATTCGTTTAATCGTCGCAATTACGAAACGTCGCGAATAACATTCAAAGTGATAAAGTTGTTCGTTAAAAGTTGTAAAAAAAAAAAGGAGAAAAACGTCTTTTCGTTTTTTAACGTTTTTCGTGGAATCGATTAAACGGACAATCGTTGATCGAAACTACGACACGAGCTATCCTTGTTTCCCAATCGCGTGTTCGGAGAACGTGCGGTGAGTT